CAAGCGGTCAGACACACCTGCTGAGATGCTTTGCAGGCAGGAGAGCGCTTAATCCCTTTGCCAGGCCGTTTTAATTTAAAATTCCGAGAAAGATGACAGACTCCGAAGGGTTGCAAAAGCAACTGATGAGTGGAAAAGCCACTGGAGCCCAACCACCGCCCCCCGCCCCCCCCCCCCCCCCCCCCACGAAAGCCGGGCTCCCAGGCGCGCACTCGCCCTCCTTGCTCCACGTACTTGGTGGAGGGCGGTGCCGGGGGGCCGAGCCGAAAAGATGCTCTTGCTGCCTCTTCCGGCTGCCACGAGAGTCGCCCGTCCGACATCTGAGCGGGAAGCGCTTCTGGGGACCCGGTCCAGCCGCCGCAGACAAGACGAAGGGCCTTGTTTTAGGAATCTGTGGCAAAGAAAAAGAAGATGATGTGCCCCAGTTTATAAGCGCAGGAGAGAATTTTAATAAATTGGTGTCTGGAAAGCTGAGAGATCTCTTGAACATATCTGGACCACCCCTGAAGGCAGGCAAAACCCAAACCGTTTATGGTCAGCATGAGGGCTTCTCCAGCATGGTGTGGTTGGCCTCGGCAAAAAGACGGCCGGAGTTGATGACCAGGAAAACCGGCACGAAGGCAAAGAGAACATCAGAGCCGCTGTTGCAGCGGGGTGCAGACAGGTTCAGGACCCGGAGATCCCGTCCGTGGAGGTGGACCCCTGCGGAGACGCCCATGCGCGAGGAGTGGTGCCTGGGCTCTACGAGTATGACGACCTGACGCAGAAAAAGAAGGTGGCTTCATGGAAGTGGGTATCAGGAGGCCTGGCAAAGGGGAGTCCTCTTTGCTTCCGGGCAGAACCTGGCGTGCCACTTGGTGAGACGCCCGCCAATGAGATGATGCCAACCAGATTTTCCGGAATTACTGAGAAGAATCTCAAAAGTGCTAGTAGTGAAACAGACGTCCACATCAGACCCAAGCCTTGGATTGAGGAGCAGGAAATGGGGTCATTCCTCAGTGTGGCCAGAGGGTCCGAAGAGCCTCCAGTCTTCCTGGAAATTCACTACAAAGGCAATGCAGGTGACCCTCCTTTGGTGTTTTTTGGGAAGCGGATTAGCTCTGACAGTGGTGGCATCTCCCTCAAGGCGGCTGCAAACATGGACCTCATGAGGGCTGACATGGGAGGAGCCGCCAATGTCTGTTCAGCCATCGTGCCTGCCGCCAAGCTCGACCTGCCCTTCAGCGTCGTAGGTTTGGCCCCTCTTTGTGAAAATATGCCCAACGGGAAGGCCAACAAGCCTGGGGATGTTGTTAGAGCCAAGACCGGGAAGACCATACAGGTGGATGACACTGCTGCTGAGGGGAGACTCCTCCTGGCCGATGTGCTCTGCTACGCGCACGCTTTTAACCCAAAGGTCGTCATCAGTGCCGCCACCCTGACAGGTGCCATGGATGCAGCTTTGGGGTCCGGTGCCACTGGGGTCTTTACCAGTTCTTCCTGGCTGTGGAACAAACTATTTGAGGCCAGCATTGAAACGGGAGACCGTGTCTGGAGGATGCGTGTCTTTGAACCTTACACAACACAGATTGTAGGTTGCCAACTAGCTGATGTTAATAGCATTGGAAAATACAGATCTGCAGGAGCATGGACGGCTGCAGCATTTCGGAAAGAATTTGTGACTATCCTAAGTGGGCGCATGTAGACATAGCAGGAGTGATGACCAACGAAGATGGTTCCTTACCTGTGCAAAGGCATGGCTGGGAGGCCCGCGAGGACCCTGATGGAGTTCCTGCTTCGGTTCCGTCAAGACAGCACTCAGTTCAGATGCTCTAGAATGCCTTCATTCTGTCTTAAACGGGCAGTAGAGCTTCAGAATACTTTTGAATGAATAGATCAAAATCTCTCAAGGGAAACAAAGGGTGGTATTTAAAAACATAGAACGAAATGAAATCTGTATGCCTCGATTGGTTTTTCACTTTATGCAGAGGTTTATAAAGGTCAAGCTAATATCTTGCCTGGCAAAGATTTTTAAGATATTTTAGCTTAAATGAATAATGATGATTTTTTAAAAGCTACCTAATCACTTTTCAGAGTATCTGTTTGTAACTGAGGAGCAAAATTGTATTTCAGATTTGTGATGCTGGGAATAATGAACAAACTAAAAGTCGCTGTGCAGTTGTCAGAAACAATAAATCTCACTTTTTGTGCTCCCTGGTGTGGCTCTGATATTTACTTATATATTATTATAAACCCAGTGATGCTATCATATAACTTGTCTCTTCTGGCTGTGTTATATGAACTAAGTAATTAAGTTGGGTCTCAATGTTAATAATCACTTTGGGGCACTCAGTGATGAGCTTGAGTAGGTGAGGCGGTACTATTATCCCCACATTACAGATGAGGAAAATGAGGCACAGGAGAGGGTTAGTAACATGCCTGCGATGTCACGAGGCTATTAAGTGGGAGAGCAGAAAGCAGTAGAGGTTTCTTCTTCTTCTTTTTTTAAATAAATTTATTTATTTAAAAAAAAAAGAAAGAAAAGAAAAGCCACTTGATTTTCTTCAAGTAAAATGTCTTGGAGCTGTTTCACCCATCCCCCAAAAGGGCACGAGTGTACCTTGCTGTGCATGGAAGAAGGTCAAGAATCATAAGAGACTGACCAATTAAATTGTGCTTTTTATTGCCAGAAAGCGGTTGAGAATGGCCCTAGGCAGCCTGTTTGTAGAAGCTGAGCTATAGAACCGAACAAAAGAGTGACTCGAGCTCTGCAGTGTCTACTAGTGTGCTCCGTGGCACAATGAAACGCTTTTTGGGGAAGGTCAGGATTTTTACTTATATATAGCTCCGCCTTCCTTAGTAATTGTCCTAGGAGGGAAACTCAAAGATTCATCTTCAAAAACTGAGCAGAAGCAACCTTGATTGTCCGTGTGAGAATTCTTGTTCATTTGGAAGGAACAGCAGCCTCTTTCCTTAGTGTCATCATGTCTTTCTCCTCCTTCTTCCGCTGCCCCGACCGCCAGTTATCCCATCCATGAGCACTTCCTGTGCCTGCCCTTTAAGACTCCAGCCGCCTGGGGGCCCTCCAAGCCCTGTCTTCCGTGCTCATCCCCGAGCTCTCGTGCCCGCTGACCAGCCAGTGCTCCTGCCCACGTGGACACCCCCAGGCCTCCTTGTCCGCCAGTTTCACATGCCCGCATCATCACCCCAACCCTTCTTGCTCCTGAGCTTTCACTCTTATGAGCTGCTCCGCCATCCACCCAAACCACTGGAGCCAGAAGCCGGGAGAGCTTCCCTGCGCACACCCAGCTGCCGTCGGCCCCTCTTCTCCCCCCACCGACGCCCGCAACAGCCCCGCACGGTCTCCGTCACCACTTTCCTCCTCAAGGGCCTTCAGGGGCTCTCCATTTCCTACTGGATAAAGTCCAAACTTGGTAGCATGGCCCCCCTCCCCTGACAGCCTCCTCTGGGGTCACTCCCAGGCCCCAGTTTCCCCTCAACCTTCAAGAACCACTTGACAGTTTTCCAAACAAGCCAACCCGGTTTCCACTTTCTTTTTTCCCTGTTCCTGGAATGCCTTTCCTTCCCTCCTCTGCCTGGTGAATACTGTCCATCTTCCAAGGGCCGGGCTCAAGCCCTTCCTAATTCCCCTGGAAGAATCAATCTCGCAGCACTCCCGACCCCGCATCCTGCCGCGTCCCTCCCCTCGGCTCTCCTGACCCCACCACCAGCTGCTTGCTCTTCTGACGTGACTCTCTTCCTCTGCTAAACCCAGACCTCCTTGACGTCGCTGACCTCTGACCCCCTGCAGTTAACTCTCATATCCCCCACGCTCGCGCAGTGCCTGGAAATAAGAGGTACTTGCTCCTATCGTTATCATCCTGTAGCGATAAAGAGCTGGTAATAATAACCAGCCGTGCTCTATTTGGACAAGACTTAATTCTTCCTTCAACAAGCGCTCACAGAAGGGCTCTTATAGCCCAGGCACTTTGCTCCGTGCAAAGATGAATAACACATCCGCCCCTCCTTATTCCAGAAGGTGGACAGATCTCCCCGCAAATCGGGACACTGCAGTGAGGTGAGAGCTGGCACCAGAGGTGCCAGAGGAGCCCAGCACCCGTGGCCCTGGCTCGAGACGGTCACTTCTTGCTCTGCCCAGATAGCCAGTTGCCTGAATTTTAAAGCATGTCTGTAATTGTTTACGTCATCTGGTCAATGCAACCAATAAATATCATCATTATTGGATGTTGAAAAAAGCTTTCAGAAAACACCGAGGAACCTGTAGCTCAGCCCTGAGGGCTTTCCTAAGGCCTTTCACTCGCGTGTGGGTTCTCAACCTTATTTTTCTCTTGTTCCTACAAGTTTTAGACCACTTGTTTTGGAGCAGGAACATTTGGAGGTTTCGAAAGGTCCTGGAGGCGCCACTAGCTGCTGCTTCTGGACGGGACCCTCTTCTGACCTGAGTGAGAACCCTGTAGATCTGGACCCACTAGGAACTGGAGAGCCGAGGTTCTCTGGAGTCTTGGGGGCCGTGGCCTTTGCCGCCGCCCCGTCTTTCCCGGATCGGGGTTGCCCCTGGTTGAATACGTGTGCCCGTGTGGTTGGCTCATCTTGCACGCTTGTGTGTCTCCGGGCAGATGTGCCTCAGCATCTCCCGGTGGAGGGGGCCTTTGAGCTCGTTATTTTCCGGGCGACCAGGGCGACACCCGGCTCCACGGAGGGAACAGAGCGGGGAGCCGCAGCCTCGCCGGTTTGGCCGTGGAGATCCCCTGAGGCGCGTGGCCGGTAGCGCTCGCCTAGGAAGCAGGACGGGCAAGATGACGGTTCTGACAGAGGAAGCCCAAACGAGGGATTTGCTTTCTCAGATGTTCTGGAAAATTCCACTTTCAGGGCATAGGCTCTTTTTTTGAAAGAAAGAGGCTGTGTTTTGAGTGAGCTGTGGAGACCTTCATGAGGAGGCGTGTGGGGACATGTGGGCCCCAAGCCTGCAGGCGGGCTCGCTCCTCCCGGGCCACGAGCAGGCCTGCGGGCCGTCCCTCGAGGTCCAGCACCCCGCAGCCTCACATCCAGGGCGCACGGGCCTTCAGAGCGTCTGCGGGGAGGCCGTCCTGGCAGAGACGGGAAGCCCTGGGGCAGAGCAGGCACTGAGGGCCTCAGTCTCCCCTTCACCGCGGTGCTGCGGCCTCGAGTTCCGAAGCACGTCCTGTGTGCCACATGCTGTCTGATGTGCGTCGTGTAACATACAAACATACGTCGAAAGTGAGAGTGTCAAAAGTATACTCCTGTGTTGAATGGCCCTGTGAGACGGGCATCATTTTACAAATTAGGGAGATAAGGCTCGGAGAAGTGGAGTCACTTGCTTCCCGCTGGGAGCCAGGGTATTTCCACTGGATTCTAAATGCGGTTCTCTTGCTCCCAACCCCCAGGCTCCTGCCGTCACTTGGCTGAGCTCCCGTGTCCTCCTTTGCCCACCTCCATCTCCAGAGCTTGACTTTCTGACTCTGCGCCCAGATGACCGCGGGGCTGGCTCCTTCCTTCCAGCTCTCGGTCACCACCTCCCGCCTGTCCCTGTGCTTCTGACCCTGGGTCCAGGTGACACGCCCTTTATCCTCACGCTGCTGTCCCACCACCGGCACTGTGTTGACTGCAGGGAAGCAGGCTGTGTGCCATTCATCCTACTTCATCTGCAGTAATTCCACAGCTTAGCAGTTCTGGTAGACTTTGAACGTTTTTTTTTTTTTTTTTTTCTGTCTGAGAGATTTGATATTCTTTAAATGTACTTTTTAATTAAATGCAACCTGGATAGCTCCTCTCTACTCAGCCTCTCCAGTGATTAAGGGGTTCATGTGGGAGAAACTGACTAGGAGTAGACCCCATTTCCCTCTGCCTGGAGCCTTTCTTCCCAGAACTACAAAGCACCCGCCTTTCTGCCCTTGAAGCTCCCTAGCACCCACGGCTGCTGACCTCGGCAGAAATCCTCTTTTGCTTCGACGTCTGCACCTCCCAACCACCTAAACCAACCTGGGAAATGCTCAGTTGAAAACGCTACAGTAAAGTCTCAATTAAGGAAATGCTCAGGGGAAGGAGTGTTCTAGTTAATTTAATTTCTGGTTAACTGAGCACAACCAAAGTTTTTATTAGGAGGAAACACCGTTATATAAAAGAAGGCTTATGAACTTTGGATGAAGACATTCCTCTATTTAAAACCCATTCTCTACCATGTTTAGTCATGTGACTTTGACTAAAAGGGGGATGCTAATAGCTATAAAAGGGGTATGCTAATAGCTGTCTTATAAAAGGGGGATGCTAATAGCTATCTTAATAGCTTGTTGTTAGCCTAAATTGGGCAACATTTGTAAATGTAAACACGTAACAGAATGTTGAGCGGCTGTGTGGGAACTTGGTGAAGTACAGTTTCCCTCCCACTTCCCATTTTGTTTTCGTTCTTCTTGGAAATAATTCTTAATACGTTGGCATATGGTATTTTAAAAATGTTTTTTAATGCGGAACCCTGAAGGAGAGGGTAATTTTCCTGGTGGTGGTAGTAGTGGCTCATTATTGTAGAATATTTATGAAAAATTAACCAATCATTGAGTATTTGTTCAGTGCTTATTACATCTTAGACACCGTGAGAGTACCAGAAATGAAGAGGTCATTTTATTCTTTTAAAAATGCCCAGATAGTCTTCTTTGCATTTCTCTTCTAAAAATTGAACGTGGGAAAAAAATTGGTAGAAAAGTCAGCTTGGCAGTTTAAAAATACACATCCATGACCTCCTCTCACTTAAAAAAGAAGTAAAAACCCACTAAAATGTGTAAGGTCAGATCTTACCAAACGGCACCGCGAAACAGAGGAAAGCTTCAAGTGAGCTTTATCAGGGAGCGCTCCCGGGCGAGGTTCACTGGTCCGAGAGACAGGGGCCAGAGAAGTCGCGGCCGGGCGAGGTTTGGGCAAGATTTTATAGGGGAAGAAGGGAAAGGGGTGTGGCGAATCCGGGAGGGCGCAGGGTATTCCTTATTTGGTGGTCTTTTCGGGTATCCTGGGGGACCGTTAGTCCCGCCTCTCGAAAGGTGGGAAGGCTGGGCTGGGTTCAAAGTCCCCAGGTCAGTTCCTGGAACTGGGTGGTCCGGAATGTCTCCAGGGTAGTTTCTAGAACTGGGTGGTCCGGAGAATTTCGGTCTGATGCAACCTGTGAATCTGATTGTGTTTCCCTGCCTCGGGCCAGTTGGCCTTACAAAATGCAGTACAGGAGAAGAGGCCGAGGGCCACAGGACAAGAAGGCGCTGTTAGTGACTGAGAGATGAAACAAGGGTCTGGATGGAGGAATGATTACCATGGGGGTGGGCGGAGGAGGTCTCGGCCTGGGGAGCGGCCTTGGCCACCTTGGGACTAGTTATGACCCAGAGCTAGAGCCGGGGTAGTTAATGGTTTGTGTCTGGGACAGTCTGCTGCCTACCTCCCACTGTAGAGTACTCGGCAGCTAAGGCGAGTAGACAGAGAGACAGACAGACAGGTAAGGACACATCTCCCCCATCAGAATGAATGGTCCCAGAGGAAAGAGCCCTGCACTCTGGGGTTCAGGGTCCCTTCGGGACAACACTGAACTTCCCGCCTGAAGGAGGCAAAGTTGCCCACTGACAAGTTAAAAGTCACATTTGGGGGAGGGGGTGGGTTGTCACATTTCGTTTTAAGCCTCTCTTTGCTGTTCTTTTTAATCCATGTGCTCATACGAATTTGACTGAAATTTTAAAACATTTTTTTTTTGAATGAAGCAAGTGTGCCAGCATCGTGTGCTACAATGAGCACCGTCCTTGCTACCGAGGGATGTGGATTCCGGGAGCTTACGTAAAAGTTTACTGAAATGTTAAGTTTCAGTAGAAAACGCACAGACTCCTCAATCACAAGACCTTGCCTTGATCTTCCTGTTGTAGTTTCCATAAGTCAAGGTCACTTTGCCGGCATGTGTGTACCTTGTGTGTGTGTGTTAGAGATGCACGTTTTAGGAACCGTCACATTTTATCTGCATCTCTGGGACCTACTTCTCCAAGCGTCATGTGTGATTCACGCATCACCAGAAAGAACAAAGTGGTCGGGTTTGCGGGCAGGCTGACATTTACCAGCCCCGAGTCGAGCTGCTCGCTCGACTTGTCCCGTCGACCCCATGGGTGAGGGTCCTTGAAATCAGGCAACGGTCTGGGCCACGAGAGCAATACAGACGGAAGTTGCTGTTCCGTACGAATCACAATTACGAACGACTTCCTCTTTCCTCGGGGCGGCTGGAATCTCCGCAGGCGCATCCTCCCATTCGCTAGTCCCGGGGCTGTGAACTCGGGCCTGGCGCTGACCTGTCTGTCGCCTGTGGGTCTCTCGGGGTCAGCGCGCAGGCGAGGCTGAGCCGCCCGCCTTTGGGGGGGGGGGGGTGGTATTGCCCTCCGGGCGGCGACACACACTGAGCACGGGCTTCCTCTCCGGCGCCAGGCGGAGCGCTGATTCATGCCAAATTAGCACCTTGCTCAGCGACCTCTGCGCGCCCCGCTGCTTTCCTTCACTTCACATGACTGTTTGCAAATATTAGCAGCTCAGGTCATTGCTCCTCACCAGCGACTTTCACAGATGACAGGCAGGCATTCCGCCTTTGTCACGAACGTGTCTGTACTCCGGCATCCTCGGAGGTCTGATAACCAGCCCCGCGATCCCCAGTCTCACAAGCCGAGGGTGTCGGGCGTTGGGAAGGTCCCGGGGAGGCCCTGCCGGGCGTGGGGAGGGGAAGGCTGCCCGGCGCTTGCCCGGAGCCCCGAGGGCCTGAAACGGCCTCGCAGTAACTAGTCGACACACAGGGTTAAAAAATTGGTTTGTTGGCTCTGCCCGCCTCAAGCTTTTTTTTTTTTTTTTAATTCACGTGAACCTTTAATTCCAGAATCTCATACTGCTTAGGCAGTGAAAGCCGGACTCAGAGCTGTGGGAAGTTGACTAGAGGCCGGTCCTCTTTTCTCCCCCTGCTCTCTCGCGATGCCCTGACCGCATTGCCCACAGCTGGAACCTTCCACGGTTCTCCTCAGCTGCTCTCACTGGTGGCGGGTCTCTGCAGCATGAGGTCCTCCAGGAAGCACTGGGCATTTGCTGTGATGTCAGTTTATTTATTTCCAGCCTCTTCCATCTCCACCCTTTATTGAATGTCCTGTTCTCGAAATGTGCGATCAGTCCTCATCTTCCCTAAATAAACAGTCGTAATGCGCACGTAGTTTAATTTTGATATTACTTGTTTGAGAGAAAAGTGGCAAAAACATCTCGTGTTTTTTTTCTCCCTTGTCACCAGAGGTATGAGCTACGTTATTTATAGTTTGATACTCACACAACAGAGACAGAGTCGGAATAGTTACTTTTCAGAGAGAAGGGATTAAACATGCACGCACGGAACTGAGCACTTGGTTCATGGGATGTCTTTGCTCCAGGGACCACGTTCGGGCCCAAGTCAGAGAGCAGCCGCCTTCCAAACACATGCGTGCCCAGCAGAGGGCCTGATGCATGAAATGTTTGTGGAATTCAGCGGATTTGAAAGTAGTGGGTAGACCAGGTAACTCAATCAGCAAAGTCTAAAACTGATAAAGTCAGCAAGCATTTTGGAAAATGCACAACAGTCTGAAGCCCTTTATGGGCACGATGTGTGGAGAAGCAGCAGGAGCTCTCTGTTCCCGTGGTTCCTGGGCAGGACATGTGTTTATGGACCAGGACCACACCGAGTGCCCCTCGAGGGCTGGGGTCGGGTCCCGAGGCGCTGGGTGTCCTGTCAGAGCAGCTGGATGGGACTCTCGTGTCACGTTCCAATCCTCACACCTTCTGTACTTCAGAGAGTTCATGGGCTTCTGCTTTCTCTGCCGCAGGAGGTGCTGGCACGCCTGAAGCCGTGGCCCCCGTCATCGTGATCCCCCCAAGCAACAGAAGCGTGGTGGCCGGGTCCAGTGAGACCACCTTGGAATGCATAGCCAATGCCAGGTGCGTGCCAGTCCCCCACGCGGGGAGTAACAACCCATGACAACCCCTCCTGCGTGTGGCTGGCTCTCCCAGCAACGGTGGTCTTGTTCATCCAGCTGGGCTGTGGGCACAGCGCGTATGGGAAGCTAGGACTCGGGTGTGCTGCCCTTTCCCGGGCCTTGTTCTGCAGTATTTACATTGAATGTAATATTTATATTGGAAAGCAGCGCTTTCCACTTTAGCTCTGGGTCATGGTAGAGGGTCTCTTCTTAGGTTCTGGCTGAGGAGCAGAGGGGAGCTTTGCTCTCCTTTGGGTGCAAAGGAAAGAGTTAATTCTCTTCTCCTCTGTCGTCGTAGGTGTTCTCAGCCCCATTAGTGGTCGCTCCAGGATGGAGTTCCCGTGATCACGCCTCCCGTGTAGCGCGTCCCCTAGCAGTATTTGTTTTATGCATTCTTTTCCTGAGCAAATGGAATCATTAGCACTTATGGTCCATTGCTGCTGCAATTAGCTATCCCTGCTCAACAGCCCTTGAGCAGACTGTGTCGCTGACGCGTGCCTTAAGGGAGTAGAGTAATATCTGGATTGAGTTTTAAATGTCCACTGTTCAACCCACCGTGGTTCCTGGTAGAATGATTATTATTGCCGTCTACATGATCCACAATTGTTGTCACTAAAGCCCTTCGTTCTCACAGGCCCATCGAGGAGCTGAGTGTGACCTGGAAGAGAAACGGGGTGAGAGTCACCCGTGGGCTCCACAGCTTCGGGAGACGCCTCACCATCAGCACCCCGACCTCCTCGGACATCGGGGAGTACGCCTGCGAGGCAGCGCTGCCAGGGAGTGCCTTCGAGCCCGCCAGAGCCAGAGCCTTCCTTTCTATCATAGGTGAGGCTCAGGCTGGGACGCGGTGGCGTCGGCATCCTCGCGGGGCGGTGGCACACCCCAGGCCGTGGAAACAACGTAGCTAACACCTGCGTTCCACCGCCTATTTTTAACCCAGCACATGGAAGTGAAGTTGAGTTTATCTCCCAGATTCAGCCTAGTCTTCTTTCCCAAGAATATCAATGCGTTAAGTCCAAAGAGTTGATGTTCTGAATACTCCCAAGAAACGTCCTTCTGAAAACTTCCAATCGTAAAGCTTGGGAAATAGTGTCGAAATCCTTGGCATGTTTATCACCTCCCTGTGCTGGCCTTTCTGCCATGAGGCTTTTTTATAACTCTTATTTGGCCGTTACGATCAATGTTCAGAGATTAATCTATGACCATTATTTTTTATTTTGTGACCCAGAAGAAAGTCAGAAAGTCTTGGGTGTTAACCTTTTGTTAAATTAGAAAGTGAGAACAGAGAGGCTTCCTAGAATCATGTGTTATTCTTAAACCAGGGAGAAGGGAGACAAAATTAGGCACATCTGAGCTGCTCTAAACGCTGGGAAATCTCGATGTTTAGGAAGGTGCACTGTACACAGACTAAGAGAATCCTCAGTCTATTTTCAGATTATGATAAGATTACATTAAATTGTGAGGCAAAGGCCTTTATTTCTCTCGTCTCTTCAGCTCCTATAATGTGTTTAGGCCTCTTCAGCGGCTGTGGTCACTGTCGCAGTGACCCATCTAGTGGCCACTGCTGATAAGAGGTGCTTCAGGGTCCACTCCAGGTGGGAGAATCTCTGCCTCTCTCCTCTCCATGCAAACAAGGCAGACTGAGACCAGGAAGGATCCCATGAGCAGAAAGCCCTTTGAGAGCAATCGCCCCTCACATAACATATTTTGCAGTTTGCCACTTTGCAAACTAAGGAAAAATAAAAGCTTGTGTTTTCATAAAAAATTAGCAAGAGTGTGAAGAAATGCTGCATAAAAGGCAGTTTGCCTTGAGTGTGTCACATTCCTTTAAATCATTAGGAAGTGGCTCTGTGGCCTGAAAATGACTGCCAAACTCACGTGATGCAAAGCTGTCAGCCCATCTGAAAGATGTGCACGAATTTTAAAAGTGTCAGAGAAGGCAGGTTTTGAATCACAAATCATTGCTGATTCTCCACTAGGGATCTGAGCTGATTCTCTGCTCCCTTTCTCAGCCACACTTTAGAGATGTCAGTACCCCAGCCCCGTTCCCGGCAAGGACCTTTCTGTCGGGGGTGATCTACAGCTACATGAGCACAGCGCATTATAGACTGAACCCAAATTAAAATTGTAAACGTGTAAATCTCCAGCAGACAGGACTATATTGTGTTAAAACATTTCAAGGTAATTTAAGCAAGAGAAGAAATCTATCTCCCTGTAAACTAGAACGTTTGTTTCCATTATAATTCCCTTTTTAAAATATTTAAGGGCTTCCCTGGTGGCGCAGTGGTTAAGAATCCAGCTGCCAATGCAGGGGACACGGGTTCGAGCCCTGGTCCGGGAAGATCCCACATGCTGCAGAGCAGCTAAGCCCGTGCGCCACAGCTACTGAGCCTGCACTCTAGAGCCCGCGAGCCACAACTGCTGAGCCCGCGTGCCACAACTACTGAAGCCTGCGCACCTAGAGCCCATGCTCTGCAAGCCACCGCGATGAGAAGTCCTGTGCATCGCAACGAAGAGTAGCCCCTGCTCGCTGCAACTAGAGAAAAGCCCACATGCAGCAACGAAGACCCAACACAGCCAAAAATAAATAAATAAATTTACTGAAAAAAATCATTTTTAAATCTGTCACGTGAACTTGGGTTTTGCACTTCCATCTGGATTCCAGAGCAGATTGTTTCTGTATTCTCCGGAGTTGCCATCTCTCCGTGTTCTGGCTTTTAAAGGTACACGACACACTCGTGTACCTTTATGATGGTCCTTTAAATCCCCTTTATTCATAAGAATTTGCTGTGACAGGTAGGATTTTGTGGTTGAATCATCCTGGGAAAGCCCTCAAGAGCCTCTGTCAATTCGGAGTGATTTGGGAGATTATAGCCCCGAGCCCAGCGATCGTGGAGGGAGGGATCCCCAGGAAACCCTGGTCCCGGTTCCACGACCCCGTCGCTGGTGGAACTGTGCGGCGAATATCGACATGAACGTGCAGATGAAAGAAAGCAGACACAGACTGGCTTCTGTTTCCTCCTGTTTCTTACTGATGAGACAAGACAGGCTGTCCAGCCCACCTGTCCAGTCGGCTGCCGCGTTGCTTAATTTCTGAGGTCTCCACACGGCAGGGCAAGCGGCCTCCTGGGCTTGGCGGTCCACGGTCTCCCCCACCTGCCCTGCGGGGAGTCTGCGGCTGTTGCTTCGCCGCTCGTTTGCTTGCCTGCCCACACACCGCACACCCCACGCGATGGGACAGACACCTCAGGGCCCGTTTCCTGACTGCGTTCTCTGGCCACTGGAGCCAGGGCTGCCCCTGGGTGAGGCCAGGGCACCCGCCATGTGGCAGGCTGGAAGTGCTGGCATCCACACCCCCCGGCGTGCGTCAGTCCAGCGCCACGTGGACCGGAGGGTCCTCAGCCCCGAGGTGGGGATGTGATTTGGAGGTTGGGGTCTTCGCTGGCCTCCAGAGTCTCCCCACGGGGTAAACCCAGTCACCCACAGCGGGGGCCGCCTTGGCGACGCGCTCGTTTACAGCCGGCCTCCCGCCCTCCCGATGGTGTCCCCATCACCTCCCAGATAAACCACTGGCAGGGAGCCCTGTCTCAGGTCTGCCTCTCAAGGAGGCCCACCCAAGACGTGGACCGTCGCCCTTCAGACCCCCGAGCACCTGTGCTTAGGATGAATGGCCTTTCCTGCCCGGGTCCCTCCTTACCTGCCTTGTGGGTCTGCGTGTCCCTCAGGACTCCGTCAGTCGTCACCACTTGCCTCTGTGACCTCTCAGACTTTTCACCAGGCAGAGGAGTGACGCTGTCCCAGCTCTTGTCCTACAGAGAGTGGACACTCTAGTGGGTCATTGATGCTCCGTGCATGACGGAACAGGCTGTGGAGACGGGACTGGGCCCAGGTTCTCACTGCACCACTCGCTGGCCTCTGCGGGCCTCAGCGTCCACGGCTGTGAAACGTGGGTGCTGCAGAAGATGATTCCGGCTCGTGTTGTGAGGACGATATGAAGTAACGGGCACGGAAGGACTGAAATGGCAGCTTTGGGAGCCGTGGGTAGGACTCCGCGGTGACACACGTCACCCTTAGTGCTTTACGTGCAGCGGTGACATGATGCATCTTCCACGCCTGCAGCCTCTGAAGTCAGCATGTGTCTCGCGACCCACGGAAGCATTTCTTCTTTCTTGGGCGGAAACAAAACGACGCCTCTTACCAATGCTGCAACGCCTCAACCTCCGTGAAACACGGCGGGTCCATCTCCCGTCCAGACTGACGGATCTGGTCCCACGCACAGCGCGGCCATGCATACACGTGTCCTGCCCGAGGCGCAATGCCTTCTTCACCCCCGCTCAGAAACTCGGGTGAGTGGGCGTGACAGTTGTACAGAGCTTTCTCTGTAAACCTCAAGTCTATTCTGATTTTTTATACATACATCATGCAGAAACTCCAATATCTGAACTACTATTAAAATAACAAGTTACCTGTAACACCTCTCTGCTGATAGCAGCACCGTGACTGAGAAGTTGTTCCCCTAGAGCTGAGACTGAGCATCTCTTAGACGTTTGTTTGCAACCCAGATTCCTTCCTTCCTTCCTTCCTGTTCTCTTCCTTCCTTCCCTCCACTTGACACGGAGGTCTTTACTGAGTCGGCCTCCCCGAAGCTCTGCTGGTCCCGGCGTCCAGGGTCTTATGCGGAAGGCAGTCCCTTCATGCGGCAGCTATAGTTGCACACGGCGAGTGCTTACACACTCAGCAAGGAGGGGGGTGAGGGGGCTCCCCTGGGGTTGGCAGGAGAGGGGCTTTCACAGCAATTCGGGCCAGAAGAGAATCTTGCAGGGAGCATATAGTCCTCTCCTCATGGAGATTCACAGAGCACCTGCCTGCTAACTTGTTCACATCGGTTTCAGAAAAGCCTGAGATGTCTTTTTTTATAGTTTTCACATACGACCCCTAGTAAAGCACCCAAATTCATTATCGGCGTCCTGTCACCAACTGGAGAGCTTATCCGCATGGCATCTTACCACTGATCAAAGCTCAGAAAAGAGCGATCACAGAGCTGTTCCTTAAAACCAGAGGAAGCGTGAGACAGACCTCAGACGATGCTGGCGTGACTTGCCCCTGGATGCAGCACCGGCAGCTCCTGGTGCCCCGAGATGAGCAGGAATTCTGTCTGGGGAGCAGGGTGTGAACTCTTGCACACGCCGTCCAATTCCAGGCTCCCCCGCCATCCTCTGCTTCTCCGCTCACCCACCTGTCATTCACCAGCACAGAGCGTGTGCCAGGCACCCAGCAGGAGTACCAGCCTGGGTGGCATGAAGACGAGTTAGATGCGTCTCCACCCCGAAAGAGTTTCAGGGTCCTAAAGTCTGTGGGCGTCTCCTCTCTCTCTTCTCCAGTGGGCGGTTTCTAAGTGTCTTCTCGGAAATGATGGCAGGTGCTAAGACGCAGAGATGACCAAGACACGCTCTTCCCTGAAGCAGCCTCCAGCGTGGTGGGCGCATCACACAGACGTGGGTCATCGGTCCCAAGGGGTACGTGGGTGGGGCAGACCCAGCCCGGCTGCAGGAGAAGGAACACGAGGACTGGCCTTGCAGATCGGTGTGAATTTGCCAACGAGGCAGCTTGAGAAAGGCTGGTCCACGGGGAGGAGCCAGGACCAGTGACGGCCTTTGTGTTGGCTCTTGTGAGAAAGGACCACAAACTCAACAGCTTAAAATAATACAGACGTGTCGCCTCACGGTTCCCGGCCTCCCGAGGCTGCAGCCGAGGCTGTGGCTGGGCTGGGCTCTTCTCCCGAGGCCCCGGGAGGATCCACCTCCCGGCTCACCCAGGGGCTGCAGAATCCAGTTCATGCGGTTGTGGGACTGGCCTGTTTCCTTTCTGGCTGTTGGGGGTCTTTCTCAGGTTCTCGAGACAACCGGCATCCCTGGCTGTGGCCACCTTCATCTTCAGAGCCAGCAGCAGGCCGAGTCCTCACACCGCTGCCAGCTGGAGAAAGTTCTCTGCTTTTAGGGGTCCCCGTGATGAGACTGGGCCCGCCCCGCTGCTCTGAAATCATCTCCCCGTTTTTAGGTCGATGACCTCGGTCACGTCGGCAGAGTTCCCCTGCCGCGTAGCGTAGCATGTTCACAGGTACCGGTGACTGGGGGTGGACATCTCCTGGGGGCATTCTGCCCACCCCAGTAGACAAAGGCATGCAAGCGTGGACGACAGTGGCGAGTCAAGGGCACACCACGGGCCCTGCTGCTTCCCGAGACGGCCGCTCTGGGAGCAGGGCAGACGGCAGAGGGGGCATCTCTGGGCTGTGCCGTGAGCCGGGGTTGTGGGGTGGATGGTGCAGGAGCCAGAGCCCAGCATCAAGGGCAGGAGATCCTGAGGGATCCTAATTTGGGGGCTGCCTGGGAGGTATCCCTGCCTCAGGCTCTGAGGTCGGGGGACTGGAGGCTTGCCGTGCTGCCTGGAGGAGCTGCCCGTGGCCCCCGGGGGACGTGTGGAGGACAGCCCGCGTGGCTGGCCTCTTCTTAACACGCCGGTGTCACACGGCATGAGAACGTTTTCCTGACGGCTTCATATTGTTTCAAAAGAGGTGAAAGTGTTAGTTTCAGTCCCTGGTTTTATTGGCCTCCATTGCGATAAATTTTTAAAAGTCTAGTGTGCACCTGCGTTGGCAGGGTACCCTTTCTAGACAGAGTTGTTGCTGATTAGCTGAGATGCGCACTTGCCCTTTGAAGATTAAGTGGTTGAAAAGTCCGTGGCGGGGATGACTCGTTCACAGCAGGTTCTCCCCACCAGTCACCTCAGTCTTTCTTGGGTGAACCGCCCGGTGCTTTCCCCCACTGTTCTCCTTATAGACAAGTGTACGCGGAAGTAGCCGAGGGCACTGCTGAGCTGGGCTGGAATGCGGGGTCAGCAGGGAGAGAAGTGGTAAGTGCGGACGTGGGAGAGATGACGTTACCGTCGGAAGCCGCGTGCGCCTGGGAGGGCTTCGGCCGCCCCACGGCTGCGCTGAGGGCTCAGCACCTGGAAGGCTTCCCGGAAGAGGCAGGGGAACCAGTAAATGAGTGAGCAGACCCGGCCTCCCTGGCCACTAAAGCTTGCCTGGGTGTCGGCTGCGGAGGAGACACACAGCGCTCGGCCAGCTCCGGCAGACCGCCCGGCGGGACGTGCCCAGGGAGCCTGGCGGCTCTGAGCTCGGGGCCACAGAGGATATGGAGCCGTGAGCCCGTGCCGGGCGCCCCGGGGAACTGGCCGGGCGGGGATGACGGCGCTCGCAGAGGAGCCGCCCTGAGCAGGCCCGGGGGTCCCTAAGGCACCTGCAGCCCCAGAGCCAGGCCTTCCGTCAGCTCGGTCCAGCCTCAGGTCACCATGTGAGGAGGGCCCGTTGTCTCTGACCCTGGGGGCTTCCCCCCCCCAGCACTTGGGGAAGACCTGGGCACTGCAGGGCGAGGGACGGCAGCACCGGGACATCGGCCAGGGTGACAGACAGCCTCTGTAATCAGTGCCTCGGGGATTGTCTGGTCCTGTAGATGTTGAGCATGTCTATAGGTATGGGTTCTTCCCACCAAAGTGTGACTCTTGGAAGAATCTCGAGGGAAGTATGCTGCGTGGAAAAAGCCAGTTCCAAAGGTTACATACTGTACCATTTGATTTATATAACGTTCTTGAAAGGACAGAATTATAGAGATGGAGAGCAGATGCATGGTTGCCGGAGGTTCAGGATGGGACCTTGGGGTGGGCGTGGTTACAGAGGGCAGCGTGGAGGACCCTGGTGGTGGCGGGCCCGTTCTGCATCTTGACGGTGGTGTGGATGCACAGACCTGCACTGAGTCGTCCACACGAGTACAACCGAGACTGGGGGGCCGGGAACGTTGAATACAATAGGCTACACGTTTCACTGTCAGCATCTTGGTTGGACTATAGTTTCTGCAAGATGTCCCTGCTGAGGGGACACAAGGGATCTTTATTATGTATTACAAACGCGTGGGACTCTCCAGTGATCTCAAAATAAAAATGATTAAGAAAGGAAAACTGTAATCCGTCATAGCAGATGTTGATGTTTTAACTTAGTTCTTTTCCATTCCCCGCACATCCCTTTAACCAGACCACAGGGGTAGATATCAGCTTCAGCATTTGCTGATGAGAATGGGGCATGACCTGCACACCAGGACCTTGGCAGGGTGCAGCTGCTGTGTAGTTAGAGCGTAAGCAACGCTGTTGTCATTGTTAGGGTTGAAGGAGACGTGGCTGAATGTGCACGCGTGAGTGTGCACGCAGGAGTGTGCAGTGAAGACCAGCTTGAAAAAGAGACATGGGATCTCTGCAGTATTTCTTGAGGCCTGGTCTCTGCACACACACAACTAAGTGGCGAATCTGCCTCCGTCTAGTGAATTTGCAGCCGTGGCCTCAGCCAGACTGGTTCCTTCAGCAGATTGTTTCCGCTTGAGCGATGCAGGTAATTGCAGGATTGATACCTGACTGCTTCCAGCAAGGAACCTTCAGCCTTGTCTCCTTAATCATCTCCTTGAAATGCTAAGTTTTCATTTCTCTTTTTGGTCTTTTAGGTCCCACCCTGTTTTAACGATACAGTCCATACAAGATATAGCCAAGCTATAGTATCCACATTCAACACAATTACAGTGGAAATAAACCACTCCGGAAGACAGCGCCCAGAAATTATCACACAGAAAGTGAATACAACGGCCCTTTGTTATCATGATAATGAAATCACTACTACCTTAATACTCCTCGAACTTGGCCTTGCCACCGTTGAATTCCTGCTGAATAAACTGAGAAACATACTGCAGTTTAGTCTCCAAGGAGATTCATCGTTTAATACAAACAACCGCTGCTTGTCTTGCTGTTGAGCAGGAAGGCGAGCAGGGTGTCTGGAGCTATGCGAGTGGTTGGGTTTCCTTTGCTACTGAAGATGGACGAGGGGCCCATTTTCTTCTTCTCTTAGCTATTACTTTGCATTCCACTGAAGTATTAAATCTGTATTTTGGAGAAGAAGAACTGCTAAGACTTTAAACAATATGTTACTAGGCTGCCCCGTTCCCTGAAACAGGCCGGGCGCCTGTCTGCCGTGCTTTATTTAACATGCTTCATGAGTTGTTGTTTAGTTTAGATACTGAAGCAAACTAGACTATAAAATACTGTGCTGTAAATATAAACCTTTATGAACCTCACGGGATAGTCCTTCTAAAATATGACTTAAGACATTCCATTATTCAAGCCCATGAACTGAAATGTAGCCAGTGCCCTGAGTAGTAATTTGCCTTCCAGAACCTTGGACTGTAAATTGCCTTTGGCCTCTGCGCACCGAATTCTGAGTCTGGGTGCACGATGGTAACTAATGAAGTTTTCAAAAATAGTTTTTAAAAGGAGCTCAAACTCTTGTAGGCTGTGAGGGTCTTCTGAAATACACCTCTTTGGCTTATGGGCTGTTTTGGTTTTTTCTTGTTTAAAGAGCCGCCGTACTTTACTGCGGAACCTGAGAGTCGGATTTTAGTGGAAGTGGAAGAAACCGTGGACATCGTGTGTGCAGCCGTGGGTGAGTGCGGGAGCCGCAGGGCAAGCAGCGACGTGGTGGAGGAACAGAAATGGCGTCTCCAGGGAGAGCCGTCCTCTGGACAGCGACGGGTTGACTGTGGTGATTAGAAACGGGGCCGCTGGCGTGGAGTGGAACTCAGTTGCTGGGCATGTAACCTGCAAAGCGGGGATAATACTCCTTACCCAAGGGAACAGCAAGGAAGCCTTCACCCTGTCCGTCCCAACGGAGAGAGATGAAGTCCTGTCCCCTTGCCTCCCTTCAGAGGCTCTGATTCTGCAAGAGCCCTAAGACTCGGGGCGGGAAGTTCATTCTCATCCGTGGGGTGAGCGGGACTGGTGACCACGCCCACTTGAGAGAAGAGAGATCGTTCCAACTTCTCAGATAGGAAATCTTCTGTTTTTCCACCCTCTCAGCTTGGAGTCGACTTTTCCTTTGTTACTCAGGGAATTCTACCTCTCGCCCCGAGCCTCGACCCCCCTCGTTGTCCCCTGTTCCCATTTCGTGTCCAGCACACAAGTAGTTACGCTAAACGCCCCGACAGAGACGGGCTGTCTGTGGCGATTTCACAAACAAAACTTCATGAGTCCTCTGGAGATTGTCAAGTAAGGAAAAGGACCCTTTATGTTAACACCTGTTCATCTTAAGGGTGGGGTTTTTCTTCTAAGAGTTTGGCGGGCGAGGATTCCTAACAATTCTGTAAATCTTAATGACAGCTGTATAAGAGAGCGATCGTTACGTCCCTCTATACATGGGAAAACACCCCTTAAGAAGCAAAGCTAAGTAACGCGCTCGAAGCGCAGTCAGGACAATGAAGGAGACACCTTCAGCTCCGCCCGCGGTCTGGCGCCGGGGCGTGGCTCACTGAGCCCCGGACAGGCAGCCTGCCTCGGGCCACGTGTTGGTGGAGACGGGATCGAAACCCACAGGCACCAGCTCCAAAGCCAGTGCTTAGGCCTGGACCCTGAGAGCCAAGGCCCTGGGACTCGGAACAGATACCACCGATCTGCAGGTCACTTTCCATTTCTGGGAAGGAGTGGGAGTGCCACTCAGGACAGTGTTGAGTGTCGGCGTAGAGAGGGGCGTCCGGCCAAGAGTCCCCTCCCGTCCCCTCCCCTCCCCTCCATCCACTGAGCCTCTGCCACAGCTGCTCCCGCCCAGAAGAGTCATGTCCTTACTGGTTCTGGTTCCCAGTCCCGCCAGCTCCCAGGGTGCAGTCTCCATCCCCGCTCTGCTTCTCTTCTCCGCTGCTGGGGCTCAGGGCGGAGAAGACAGGAATGAGAAGAGTCCCATGAAGTTCAAGTGGGGACCTTTGCTGCATTGTCCTCTCTTCTCTATCGACACCAGCTTTTTAAGGCCAACAACTCTGTGAGAGTGAAGCTACAAGGTATTTAGAGTGCTGATATTTTAGAAACGAGAATCTACAATCCTGTGGGGATGAGAGTTCTGTTTATGACATTAACTTGCCCCAAAATAGATATACTCCTAGTTCCCCTATATACTAACAACTATTTTTCAATAAATGACAATGTTAGGCTCTCCCCTTGACAAGAGGTTGCTTTTCTGGCCTGATATCTGCCGAGTAAACTGCTTGTTAAGTACACGCTGATAAATGTACGCTGAACGGGTCTTTCAGCCTTGCATGGCCATCATATAATTTACTTCTTTCTTTTGACAATGCAACTATAGCAGCATGTGAAGTGGTTATTCTTTATGAAAACTACATCATGTAATTGCTATTATGAGAGTTTACGTGGATTGCTTATGCCTTTACCTTGCAATGGATTTTTTTTAAATTTCCTGATTTAATGAAAAGTGACAGGAAGCATAATTTAGGCAAAGAACAGAATCTGAGAATACCTTCTCTTGAAATATTCCACGACATTAACTTTATTTATTAAGGAAGACATCTTATACCTACATAGCATCTTAAGGCAAGGGATTTGGGTGTGCCTTTCAGCATGAATCACATCAAGATATTTTATTTAAATTCATTTTCTATTTAGGGAGACTGAGGCATAGCGCCATCTGAGATCTAGAAATAAGCCCAGACGTTCTGCACTTCCCGCAGGGCCACAACAAACACACTGTGCCCCCCGGAGCCCAAAACTCTTGTCCTGAGTGCCGTGGTCTTGTTCCCTGGACGGGCTCTCTTGTCTACCCTCCCTGGATAACCTGACCCTGCTCAGGTCCAGGAAGAAGGAGAACGGAAGCAGTCTTCCCTCAGCTGGTTCCCCGAGGCTCCCGGAAAAGCCACCAGGAGGAGGAGCCCGGTGTGTCCCACGCAGCGAGGCCGCCAGGAAATAGTGCATCATCGCCTGGTTACCTGCACTGACCGCACCCGTTTGGGGGACGAGCAACAGAGGTCCTCGTGCTCCCGGGCTAAGGACAGTCCCTTCATCGACAACCTGGGTTCTTCCCCAGTGACCTTGTCCACCGCATACGCCCCATCCGACCCCAGCCTCAACCTCCTTCCAGGTGGCGAGACCGCGAGCAACTCCAGTCTCACGGCCTGGAGGCCTAGGTCTGCCCCGTGAGATCATCAGGATGAGGAAGGGGCAGCCAGGAGGGGCAGCTCCTCGCCCTCTCGGTCGAAGTCTTGGCTGTGGTCTCAGCTCACTCCGCTCTTGGGTACAGGGTCGGGGGCCAAGGTGACTTCCTGCAGCCACAGCGTGGACCTCTCGTGTCTCCCCAGCCTGAACCAGATGCGCCTCCTGTGCTTATTCCTTTACCTAACCGATCACCGCCCCGGCACGACGCGCTAGCGGGTGGGCAGCGATATCCCGCTCCTTAGACAGAGCTGTTGCCAAGCCGGTGCGCGCTGGCACTGGCCTTAGTTGTGACGACGAGCAGCGAGCGGCTCTGTCCGTGCGCGCCATGGGCCGGGCCCCAGGAGGTACTCGTGTACTGACCCAATTAACCTTCACAGCCACCTTTGAGGTCGCTGTGACCCTCGTTCCCTGCGGGGACAAGGCGGGATTAAGTGTTCTGCCGGGTGGCACAGTCTCCGCCCTGGTGACCCTTCCCCGAGCCCGCGAGGCAGAGACAGAGACCTTCCTCCCAGCCCTGCCCGAGGTCAGTCGTGGCCAGAACCATCTGGACAAGAGCACAGGCCGTGGGAAGAGCCGGAAGGGGCTGCAGCTGCCCCACACCGCCCCCTTCGGGCCTCTCCCTCCCCGTCTTCACATACGATGAGAAAAATGACGCCTCACAGGGTGCTTGGAGGGACGACTAGATGAGAAAATGCCCGTTGAAATACTGCCATTTAGCCCTCACGTAAGGAATTCTTGAAGCTTAACGATTTTTGTTTCACTTCTGCACAGGGGCCCCTCTTCCCACCCTCCGGTGGTTCAAGGACGCGGTCTCCATCAACAAGCTCCAGAGCCCTCGATACCACGTGCTGTCAAGTGGAGGCCTGCGCGTCCAGAAGCTGCGTCCGGAGGACTCAGGAATCTTCCAGTGCTTCGCCAGTAACGAGGGCGGGGAGGTCCAGACCTACACCTACCTGGACGTCACCAGTGAGTACTACCCGCTGCAGAGCCGGCCTCCCCAGTCCTCGCCCCATGGACATGTCAGAAAACGCCAGTGTCTGTTCAGCCCGAGCACCCCCATCCCGGCGCTCCCCCCGGCCCTCTGGAGCCTTGGCCTTCCCAGCCCTTGAACACACCGCTTTGCTGAGACATAGGAACACACTCCCCATTTTTCTGGACAGAACTGGAAAGACGGTTAGTGAACAGCAGCTCATCCCGCGTCTTTTTCTTTGGATCTTTTTTCCATTTTTTTATATTCATTCTCTATTTTAGTTTTATTGAACAATTATAGTTCTTTTGTGACTTTCTTTTATTGTCCCAGTAACAGAAATACTTTGGCCCTCTGAAAAATGAAGTAAAGGTAAAGGTTTTTATTGTATTTGCGGGTTTTCTCTTTAACCTCCCGTAGTTGCAATGTTGTTCTTCTAAAACGAAGTAGGATTTAGTGATTAGGGAACCCTACCTTTCACGTCTGCCCTTTTGGAAGCAAAATGCTGAGAGCCGTCGGAGAAAGCAGACTGGTCAGCGTGTGCGTGGCCGGTGGCTCTCGTCAGCCAGAAGTAGGAAGGGACCGACGCGATCCTGAAATATTCACGCATATGTTTTGGTAAACTAGGGGTCATTTCTTCCAGCCTTGGCTGGGGGTCAAATTTCCCCTCCGTTGTGGAGCATAGGAAACCAGTATCACTTCAAGCAGCAGAGATAATACTGCGGACTTAAGCCAAAAACTGTGTTTTGATCCATTAGAATGATTTCAGCCTGTTTGGAATAGTGGATGTTGTAGGGCAGAGATGGGCAAGCTTTTTCTGTAAAAAGCCAGATGGTGCCTGTTTTCGCCTTTGAAGGACGTGGTTTCCGTTGCTACTGCTCACCTTGCTGTCGTAGCCTGCAGGCAGCGCAGACGGTTCTGAGCAGACGTGGCTGTTCCACAGAACTCCGTTACGAAAGCAGGGACAGGCTGGATTGGGCCCAGGCTGGTGGTTTGCAGACCCTGCTCTCGGGAGAGACCCTGCTCTCGGGGGAGACCCAGGGCAGATCACCCGATTTCTCTCAGACTCAGTTTTCTTTTCAAAATGGAACCCACCAGCCCAGTTCACAGGGTTCTTAGGAGGATCGGTTTGGAAATTTAAATGAAAGTGCTACTTCACCTGGTTACCGTGACAACTGGAGAGTGAACAAATAAATGTGTGATAATGGTAACGCTGCCTGTCTGTTTTGTAAGTACGGGGTTTGGCAAAAGGGATTTTTTTTTAATTAAAGTACTTTTAGTGAAAGAACAATAGTGTGTAAAGCAATCAATATTTATTCGCTCACTTAACAAACGTTTAGTGAGCACCTGTGTCAGCTACTCTGGGCCCGTGAGGCGCGGGGACAGAGCTGAGAGGATGCTGTGAAGAACAGGTTCTCGTGCTTCCAGGACGGAGGGTCCTGGGGGAGGGGAGAGACGGCCGAGGGCGCTGGGGGCCCTACAGAGGAAGACTAGGCGAGGCCCAGAGGGCCAGGGAAGCTCGTTAGAGGGCGGGCGCCGGGGGCTGGGTTCTCTGAGATGAGAGGGTTATTACTGGAGCTGAGGCCTGCAGGTGGGGAGGACGCTGCCCTGCAGAGCCTTGGAGAGGTGCGTGCCACGGTGCAGGTGGGAGCTGCAGGGGCCCGACAGATGCGTGGAGGGACAGGCCGGCCCAGGTGTGTGCGGGCACAAAGGGGGCGAGTGGGGCCTTCGCGGCTCTGAGGTGGGCACTGGCCGGGCGTCGTCTGAAGCTTTCAGAGGGCCTCCGCACCTGGTGTGGGGGGACAGTGAGGGGACGAACGGAAGAGACCAGTCGGGGGGCCCCCACGTCATCCAGGGGTTCGCACCAGAGGTGGACGCCCAGCGGGGAGGGAGGGCAGAAGCGGGCGGCTGCCCCAGGGTCCACTGGGCCTGCCCGCTTCTGCCCCGGGGGCATTGGCCCCGACACGGGGTTTGGGCGCTGCAGGTCACGGCTGGGACTCAGGGGTTCTGGCTTAATCTTTCGCAAAGTAGTGCAGAGTCAGCGGAGTCCTCCCCGAAGCCGGCCCGAGCTGCCGCTGTCTTCCTGGGTCTGACTCAGGGCTGCTGGAAGCTGGAGGCCCGGGCGGTCCCCCGTGAACAGGAAGACCCAACGCTCCCCCCAGGGATTCTTCTCTGAAGCCCTTGGAATCTGGTCGTTTTAACTTTCAGAACGGATCCTAAGAAGTATCAAAGTGTCATCTTTAGGACGATGTAGGATATTCAGAAACTAGCTTTTTCCTTTTTCTTTACATAATGAAAGCAGCTTGTTTGATTCATCTAAATAAACATCTCTCTTCTCTTTAACGTCGGTCAAAAACGGTTCTTCCTGCTCTTCCCCACTTGTGTGTCCATTACGTCACGAGACCATATTTCTCTTCAGGCTGTAAACAAAGATGGTGATGCCTGGGAGACGGGTAGTGGAGGGTTGTAGTCTTCCTGAAAGGTTTCCATTTTTCATCGCTCAGTTATCTCTGTGTTTAGTTCTGTAAAAGCCCAGGTGGATGACTCCACCAGGCTGGCTTGAGCGTTTCCGAGGGACGACGCACTGAATATTTCACTGTTCACCTCCTCTGCCTAGATGTCGCCCCAGCCTTCACCCAGCTTCCGGCGGACACCACGGTTACTGACGGGACGACAGCCGTCCTGAGCTGTGAGGTGTCCGGGGCTCCCAGGCCGGCCATCGCGTGGAGGAGAGGTAGGCGCTCGCACCTGCTGCAGGGCGCGGCCGACGCAGCAAGTGAGCCCAGCGGCCCCGCGTTGTGTTGGTTATTCTCACTCATTCGTTCGGTAAAGAGTAAAAATCCATTGACTGAGCGCCCACCAGGGGCCGATGCTAGGGGCACGGGGAAGGGTCAGACGAGCAAGACCCCTTAAGCTCTGTGCAGCTCACAGCCTAGAAGAGGAAGCACGTTTCTGTACACCGTGTGAATGGTGCTGTCCTCCGTCAAGCCCTTCACCGGGTGCCCCGGGCCCGACGGGCTCTGGATTTCAGCTGCAGCTTCCCCTTTGTGAATGCAGGAGTGCTTCCTTGGTGATAGTCACAGTCAAGACTGCATCCGCCTTCATTTCTAAGAAAGTTGCTCTAGCACAGGATCGCCTGCGTCCTCCGCAGCTTCACGTGTGTGGCTCTCTTAATCCGACTGTAGTTTCAGTTCCTGTGAGGAGTGGTGTCACATCTTGGGCTCTTTGCAGCTCGTCTGCAGCCCTGTCCACACATTCAGCACACCTGCCACTAAACGAACAGCGCACATAGTCTGTCCTTAACGAACCGCGGCTGAGTTGGGTTCATCCTCATCGATTAACTGGTCATGCTTAGGGGACTGGATCTGGGAGAAACGTCAGAACTTACATCTGTTTTCACTCCCAGAAAACCAGTCGGTGGCTTCCCAACTCGTGCACTGGGGCCGTGGCTTACGAAGATCTGCGAACCTACAGATTAATCAGAAAGAGGGGTTCTTTCATTTTATATATTTTCTTTTTGTCTTTCCTGATTTAGAATGTAATAATGGCTTTATAGAGAAAGTTTTCAAATGCATACACGTATAAAGAAAACTCAAAACCAGTCACCCAAAGGAAACAATCACATACATGGATCATAACTTGTGTAGCCAAATCTCTCAACATTGGACGATTGGGATGCTCTTGGTTTCTGTTATTCTAATGAACGCTAAAGCGAACTGCTTTGGTTACTTTTGGGCATCAAGTTTCCGCTTCCTTCTGATTATTTCCTCACATTATCTTCTTGGGTGAGGCCAGAGCACTACCTTCTCTCGAACGTTGCAGTTCTCACATGGCTGTTTTGTCTGTCGCCCCCAGGAAACCACATTCTGGCCAGTGGCTCTGTGAGGATTCCCAGGTTCACGCTCCTTGAGTCTGGGGGTCTGCAGATCACCCCTGTCCTAATCCAGGATGCCGGCAACTACACGTGCTGTGCAGCCAACTCCGAGGGCTCCCTGAACGCGTCTGCCACGCTCACCGTGTGGAGTAAGGACCACAGCCCGTGTGCAGCTCTCTGTTAATAATGGTTTAATCGGCGTGTCATCTGTGCTCGGGGATGTCAATATATGCCCTTGGACTCGCTAATCCAATCAAAGGAGAATCATTATTTTTACAACTAATTTGGAGAAATCTGTTGAGCAATTAATTTTTCAGCTTCTAAAAGAATAATTAGAAAATGTCTTCAAAGATTTAATGGGGACGTTTCAGGAGAGAGAAAAAATTAACTTTTTAACCTCAGTAGAGTAGGGATATTACCCCCAAAACTAGCTCAAATAAAAAAAACCTGATAGGTTGGCTAATCTTATAAGCATCACGTAAGAAAAGCGGACCCAGGTTGAAAATCCCAGAGAAAGCATTTTTTCTATATTGTCATTATAGCCAGCTAAAACATTCCTCGTCTATTAAACATGGATGTTTCCTCTATGTTAGGAGTGAACTGAAGGATCTTTGTGGTTCCTCCAGCTTTTCTTTCTCTTTATTTTATCTATAACACGGGTTTCTGAAGTGCAGAATAAATTGTCTTCCAGAACATAAGGATTGGATTACCAGGTGTTTAGCTTCACTGGCTGATAAACTTTTCTCTCTCTGCTTCATCCATACCTGTATCACTAAAAAATTATTGTTCAAAGAAGCAAGAGACAGTCAGTGCTCACTAATAGATTTTTGTAAAGCCGTCTATACGAGGAGAGAAATTTTTAACTTGCCTGAGTGACTAACTTGTTAAAATGCCATCCTTGAGGAAAAACTAAACTGTGCTTTGTTTCATGTCTGCTTAGCGTTTCCTATGATATAGTTGGTCCGCTTCGATAAATGACCCTTTCTCATTTATTAGGTGTTCTAAAAATATCACAAGTTTAAAAGGAATGAATCCAAATCCTCCAACATTGTTAAGCACTGAAAAAGAGCTTTTGTTCCATTTGGTGGTCTGTTCTATCAACCACATCTGATTCATCCAGTGTCCCCAAAAATTAACCATAAATTTAAAAGCTTGTGGAAAACTGATGTCTGCATCTCTGTAGGTCCCTCGCCGGAAAATTTTGTGGATCTGCTGAGATTCAAAATTATAATGGCACTAGACTGGTTGGTGCAGTGCTGTGTGGCCGGCAGGGGTCTTCCCAGTCTGTCCCAGCGTGAGTGTAGCAGCGCCCCCTTTCATAGACAAGAAAACTAATAAGCTTAGAGGCGTTTCTCTGGATGCCCCCCTGGTAAGCCGTCGGGCTGGGCTCTGAACCCAGTCTCATGGCTCCAAGTTCCGTCTCCTTTCCTGGTGCCCGAGCGGCGCCCTCCCGAGAGGTGTGCAGCGTGGGGACACACACCCCAGGGCCGTCTCCAGGGCCTTGGCCCTGGCAGCTGTGGAGTGTCGGGCGGCCGCAGGTCCGGACGATCTTGCAGGCCTGCACCTGGCACCAGGCCCCACTGCTTACTGGCCCCGTGGCATCAGGCAAGACCCTGTACTTGTATCAGTTTTCCTTCCTGATGACTGGGAAAAGGATTATCACAACCCTCACAAGACTGTTGTGAGGATCAAGTGAAACAGCATAAATGAAAGCACTTTGCAAAGTCATGACGTGCTGTGTAGACAGTAGAAATTACCAGAATGTTGACAATCTTGGGAAAGAATCCAGGGTGTAGAACCCGCTAACCGTCTGCATACGATCTTCCTTCTTGTTCCCTTCCGGAGTGTCTGAGGTCTGGGAGTGACCTGAGACGGGCTGGGGGAGGCGGACGGGCTTGCTTTCAATTCCCTGAACGTTTCTGGGTGCTTTCCATGTGCACTGGTTTTGCCGAGCTAAGAGAAGACTAGGAGGTTTTGATGTCAGATGACCAATTCGTCACCCCCTGAGGGAGGAAACGCTCAGGCACGTAATCTTGTCTGAGTCGCGACTTGTGTCTTTCCAGATCGAACGTCCATCGTGAACCCTCCGGAGGACCGCGTGGTGATTAAGGGGACCACGGCCACGCTGCACTGTGGGACCACCCACGACCCCCGCACTTCTCTCCGGTCAGCTCAGTCAATTACAACGTTTGGGGCTCATTAGTATTCTGGGAGCTGGGGAACTGAAGTAGAGATGAGAAGGGAGAATTTCAGAAACTTTGATTCCAGCCACAGATCCCTGATTAGAGCATCTTACAGTTCTGGGCTCCATCATTAATCACACAAATCCCATTTTCCACTCCAGCCTTATGTATTATTTACAGTGAGCTATGTTCCACTTCATGACTTCAATACAGCTTTTCATGATTTTTCTGCCAAGGTTAATACACTATCTGTAAAACGTACTTGTCAGAGGCCGATACTTAATGAGAGAAAGATCCAGAGGGATCGAATGGGATTTCAGCGGTGTTTGTGCTGGGGCTGTGCTAGCCTCGAGGGGTTTTCTCTACTCCAAGGATGGCGCCACTGTGTCATGGGGAGAGGGAGTTCCGCATGGAAGAAAGGCACCTGCGGTTATCTAACACACTTAGAGGAAACTGCAGGGAACCAGGGGACCCAGAGGACGTGAAGGGCCACGAAGTGGGTGGTGACACCTGTCTTTGTTCGACTCAGACGGGGACGGTCGTGATGAAGAACGTGACAGCCCAGGTAGACACGCGGCAGCAGACACAGCTGGCTGTCGGTGGCGAGCTTCTTCCCAAAGGGCTGCCACTTTCAGAATAGTTTTTAATTTTCAGAACCAGCCTTGAAAATGAATCTAGAAAGAAAGATGCAGTCATCCTAGTATTTTCACTCTGGCCTTAGCCCCAAAGGCATGCAGTTAGCCAGATGATAGAATCAAGATGCCCTCCTTTCTGGAACATTTCACACTGAGCAGAGGGAGGTGGCTGTCGACATTTACACACGTTACTCACCGGATTCGGAGACTAAGCTGTTTCCTCACTCTTCCTGGGCAGGTGTTTGACAAATCGTGAATTTCCACATCTCTACCTGTCTCTCTGGAGTTTCCCCAGAGCTCAGAAACCAAGTTTGCTTTCGTTACAAGAATGTTGAATGCAAAACGAAGAAACGAAAGCCAACAAGTTAGAGATTACCTGGAGAAATCTAGGATTCTAGGAAGGAATTCATTCGTTTCTAAAGGACTTGGGAGTGTCACCGAACGAAGGACAAATGAGCCAGTTTTCTGCTACCCTAAGGGCACACCAGAAACCCCCCTCAGACCTTTGTGGTTTTCTTGTAACTTCTTTAGTGTGATTAAACAGACAAAATCGGAGCTTCCCTCCTGAGAAGGAAGTAGGCGGCTTCCTCTGGGGCACCCCTTGTCCTGGGTTCCTTTGCCCCAAGGAGCACCTGGCCCTAAGGGACACTGGCCGCCGAATGCTGCTCCCCAAGTGAGCAGCTGATTCACTTCCTTCTGGTGGAGACAGTCCTGCTCTGTCTGGGGTAATTGCAGAGGAGCAGTTTGTAAATGTCTGTGCTCTGTGTGCATTAAGCCTTTAAAGAACAGGGTGCATTCTGGAAATCCAATCCAGGACTTTGGAAAGGAAAGCCAGCACTTTGATCTCATCCAGCCGTGACTAGCGAGGGGCTGGACAGGCTCTTAGTGGAGTCTACATTTGAAAAGAAAACTGTGCTAAGATGTCATAAGGAATTAAAAGAGAAAGAAATGCAGTTTTAAGGACAGTCTGCCAGAATGGTTGGATTTTTTTTAACATTTTTATTTATATTATATTATATTAGATTATTTATTTATGGTTGCACCGGCTCTTAGTTGCAGCACGTGTGCTCCTTAGTTGCGGCTGGCAGGCTCATTAGTTGTGGCATGCGAACTCTTAGTTGCGGCATGTGGGATCTAGTTTCCTGATCAGGGATCGAACTCACGTCCCCTGCATTGGCAGGCAGATTCTTAACCACTCTGCGACCACGGAAGTCCCCAGAATGGTTGGATTTTAAGAAAACGTGTACGGGCACACCCTGGGGACCTTGCCCCCTGCCCAGGCTACACTCTTGTCCCCCAGAGACCTTCCTGCAGGAGCGGGAGGTACAGTTGCAGTGGTGACACGGGTGGTCAGGAGCCCTCAGACTCCCCGTCCTGAGCCCAAAGACAGACGAATGTCTGCACTTGTCTTTTTCTCCTGTTTTAACTTCAGCATCTATCTTTGTATTGTGACAAGACATCTGGTCACTTTTCCTTTTTTTTTTTTAAGATGTAATTCACATAGTATTAAATATCACCCTTTTAAGAGCACAGTTTGGCAGTTTTTACTGTACTCACAAGGTCATCAGTTGCTTGCTTTTTTTTTTAATAAATTTATTTATTTATGGCTGTGTTGGGTCTTTGTTGCTGTGCACGGGCTTCTCTAGTTGTAGCGAGTGGGAGCTACTCTTCCTTGCGGCGTGCAGGCTTCTCATTGTGGTGGCTTCTCTTGTTGCAGAGCACGGGCTCTATGCACGCGGGCTTCAGTTATGGCGTGTGGGCTCAGTAGTTGTGGCTCACGGGCTCTAGAGCGCAGGCTCAGTAGTTGTGGCGCACAGGCTTAGTAGTTGCCCTGTGGCACGTGGGATCTTCCCGGACCAGGGCTCGAACCCGTGTCTCCCGCATTGGCAGGCGGATTCTTAACCACTGCGCCACCAGGGAAGCCCCAGCTGCTTGCTTTTTAACAGACAGGGAAGGATCAGCGACTGGGGTCCTAACTCAGGACTCTCTGCTTGACCCACAGCTACGTGTGGAAGAAGGACAACGTGATCATCACCCCATCTGGCAGCTCCAGGATTGTGGTGGAGAAGGACGGGTCCCTCCTCATTAGCCAGACGTGGTCGGGCGACATTGGAGACTACACCTGTGGAGTCATCTCTGAGGGCGGGAACGACTCCAGGACAGCCCGCCTGGAGGTGATGTGAGTATTGCGGCTACTCCGTGTTCACAGTGTCAACCCTCCCCCATGTGACCATCACGTAGCACTGTTAAACCCAACAGTCAGAGGCCACCGCCTTGGGCCTCAGGCCCGTACACTTACAGGGTTGGGGTTTTTTTGGTAACCTTAAAATGATAATATGTTCAGCTTCGGTTTAGATGGTTTAATTATTGGTTTTCCTCCTCATTGATCCCTTTTATCACATTCTCTGCATTGAGCCCATATCGTTGTAGACTGTTTACCACACCGTGTGTAAGTGACAGCAGGTCCACTTTTCCAAGTGATGCCCGTCCGAAGCTTCCGGTCAGTGTCGGGTTGGCCCAGGTCCCAGGAAAGCCAGCGGCCTCTCCGTGAGCCCCGTTCCCTCTCCCTGGGCCTTCCTGGGGGCGGGGGCCGTGGGAGCCCTGGTTGCGTCCACCTCTGTGCTCCGAGCTCATCCTCCCACAGCTCCCTCTCCGCACAGGCAGGAAGCTGAAAAGCCTGCTGACCCGGTGTGTTTTTCCGACATGTATTTATCTGCTTTTTAAAAATGTTGCCCCCCAAAGATGTTCCCCCAGCCCATACGCACAGAAGTCAAACCGGAAACTAGAGAAGCGGGGCAGGGCTGGCCGGCAGCAGCCCCTCTGGTCGACAGGGGCACGCTGGCCGTCAGGAAGGGCCTGTGAGAGGTCTTTCCCACGGGACTCTGCCCACTGCGATCCAGGAGGGCTTCTATAGGCAAAATTCATTCCCTGAAATAGGCTGTGAACCCTGAGTACAGGGGCATGTCTCATTTGCCTTTGAATCCCCAGGCCCTGGCCGAGGGAATTAAAAAGGAAAAGGAAAGACGCTTGCTCAGTGCTGCACCCAGGGCCCCCCGTGTTGGCTGCACACATACCTGAACAAGCAGCTCTCCGCCAGCCTGCGCGTGGGATTTGACGGGTTAATGACGGGCAGCTGCTAGTCCAGAAAGGCCGGCTGTTGGGTCTGCGGCACCTGGGAAAGCGCCGTTCTACCTCCAGGCTGGCCTCCCCAGGATGACCTTGTGCTCCGCAGAGGTTAGTCACCTGTTGTGATCAAAGATCACCCAGTTGCCTTTCAGCCCTAGAGGACCAGTGGGGGTCTCCCCACCCTGCCTCTCACCACTGGACCCGCTGACCCTGGGCTCTGCCTGCCCTCCTGGGCCCCCGGGCCCCCATCCAGGGCACCTCAGCCTCTGCTGCCTCCACGGCTTGGCCTGGCTCTTCTGTCACCTCCCCCTGAAGGGTGCGCCCCTCCTCTGGGAATCAGCGCAGGATCCCTTCCTGCCCCCGGGATGCAGGCTGTCTCTCCCGTGCTTCCCAGCACCTGCTCCGCCCTCGCCAGCACTGATCACGCGGGCGACTTCTTCCCTCCTGAAGTAGAAGGGTGGCACGGCTCTGCACTGTGAGTGCCTGGCAGTGCTTGGCCTACCTTAGGCGTTCAGTAAATACACGTTGGTTGGTTGAATGAATGTGTGTTTGTTGCAGGCCCCCGGCGATCCTCCCGGGTCACCTTCCCTTAGATGCTCATGTGCCCTGGGCTCCCCCCACCGGCGAGAGCTGGACAGCCAACCCTTGCTCAGCTCTGATCGGCTGGCTTTTCTCCTCCATCCATAGCTCACGTGGGGATCTTTTTAAAAATTGTTGATGACGTTGGCATCCATGACCAGTGAATTCACATAATGCGCTGTGCTATTCCCAATTTTTAAACTACCTTTGAGAACTCTCAGATCATCCATCATTGGTACCACATAAATAAGTGTTAGCATTTCATAAAGACTCTGTCAGCAGAAGCCAAATTGTGTGCTTCCAGTGTAGTGAACTCTTCCTATTCTGCACAACGTTTATGTTCTACTGATTTGCACAGCTCCCCTAGTATTTGCTTATTTGATTTCCTCTAAGTAAAATACATTTTTCAGCAAATGTTGCTGTATCTATAAAATAATAGGCTTTGTGTGATGGTAAAACACCTCATCTCTAAATATAGAAATACTTGCGGATTCGTGATTCAAACCAATTTAGGTACAACTGGTTACAGAGCTGATTTGGAAGACGGTGGTTCCTTGTGAATTGTTGGTGTAATAAGCGCTCCACTCTTCCAAATCAGAATGAATGGGGAAGGTTGTAGGCAAGAGCGTGGTGTATCTTTACATCCAATAAGGTCTTAACTCTGAGACATCAGTGATGACGAGAGCAATAATGACAAGCACAGCTCGTTGTCTGTCTACAACCCCACAGGTTGTAGGGTCTTCTGCGCTTCTCGGAGAACTTACAAACCCAGCCCAGTAACATTTTCCTGACTCACTCAGATGACAACAGAATCTCCCGTTGCAGGAGTGACTGAGAGGTACTTGTGGCTAAATAGTGTCCTTCCGAAGGGCCTGAAAGCCTGCTTCCCAGCCTCCCCACTTGAGTTAAAAGCTACTTTGTTAAATGGAGAAATTAGGAGCGTCACAAGTGGGCTTTTCAGAAGCAGGCCGCCTGCTGGCAGCTCTCCTGTTGGTTTGCTCGGTAGCTGGTGCTGTGCCAGCCGGGGGCGGGGCGGGGGAGGGCACCGTGCGGGCAGAAGCCACAGTCCCCACAGGGTCACCGGCTCTCTGGAGCGAGGCTGGCCTGGAGACCCCTCCCCAGTTCTCCCTGACTGTGTGACTTCGGGCAGGTCACCTCGTACCTCAGTCTCAGTTTTCTCACCTGTAAAATGGGCACGTTGCCATTGACCTTAAAGGGTGGCCGTGAGGTTTGAGTGGACCGCTGTTTGTGAATCCTGGCCGGGAGCCTAGCTTAGGGCAGACAGTCAGTCACAGCTCTTACTGTTCCTCGCCATCTTATAAAAAGTGTTCCTCTTTTCATCCGCGGCACCCTCCCCGTTACCCAGGGCCAGGAAGTTTCTCTCTTTTATCCTCTGACACACTAGGTGTGTCTGTCTGCTGCGGAGCCAGCCCACCGTGCATGGAACGGCGCCAGGGGCATAGCAGGTGCCCCATCAGTGTCTGAGGAAGCCCTGCTCCACTTACCAGGTTGAAACGGGTTTGGGATTTGGTACCGCCAAGGAGGTACTAATTTCTGAGGCGTCTGCCTCATCCTCTCCCCGAGAGGAGAGGCGTCTGCAATCCCAGAGGGTCTCCTTATGCGTCTGGTAAATTAACAACACAAGGTCATCGTTAATGCCAGTCACCAGTTGTGTTAGCTGTGTCTCTCCTGCTAGTTTGCTAGGGCCTTACAGGAAGGAACTGGTTCTGGGGTGACTCCGGACCCCCAAAGCTTCTTGCTGTGAGGGACCAGGCACGAAGGCTTTTTGGATTGATTGTTAATCATTTAAAGACCCAATTAGCATTGCATCATTCCTTCTGAGATCAGAGACTAATTCTTCTGAGCCCGGAGTACAGAGAAAAACCTGACTTACAGAGCGACTGGAAGACTCGGGCCCCGAGGCAGTGGGAGAGGTTTCTTCCAATAAAACCACTTCCGACAAAGCCATAATAAGGAGCGAACGATTTAATACCATCTCTCGAGAGTTATCAGGCCCCCATCGCCTTCATCCTCAGAGTGAAGCCAGAGGAGATGGGTTTGACCAAGGTGTCATTTGTGCGTTAGAGGGACAGTGCTTTTGTGTAGGAAATGCTTACCCAATCTTCTCCCACGAGAGCAGCTCCCCATGGCCACCACTGTCCCAACCGCCTTCTCTCGAGCCTCTCCCCAAGCCGTTCCTCTCAAACACACCTCGCTCATCGCCGTCCCCTGCGGCCCAGGCTTTGTTGTTAATTTCTGATGTTATGGCGGCGTCATCTTCCTGATGATGATTTCTCTCTAACTCACTTAAGTGACAGCACTGGCCTCGTCCCCGTTGTCCCTGTTGTTCTCAGAGCCTTTCAGCTGCCGCCCTGTCTGCAAATCACTGTCTGTGAGTCATGGCTGATCATTTATCTCCTTTCAGACTTGGCGGAGAAGGTGCCAGGACACAGTCTCCCGCTATTAGATGAGCTTCTCTGAGATGGATTCAGCATATATTAAAGCCTCATTTATCGGCTATTGATGGGTTAGTCAAGTATCTCGCAAAGCTTGATTTTCCAGATAACCGAAACATCATTTAAAGAAATAGTGTACGTTTCCAATGCGTATTAAAAAGTTCTTTGCATTAGGAAACAGGTAATATTGGACACGAGGTACGCTAGAGGGAGTTTCCATGGAGGGGAGAGGCTGGAACTAGGGGGGAAAAAAATCTAAATTTCCTTCCAACTCTGAGTCCTGTGATGTCTGTAAAGAACACACTTTGCGTGGGCCACCCTCCAGGGGCGACCGTGGACTCTTTTGGGGCAGCAGTGGACGAGGGCTCGTTATTTCTAGCTGCATCACGGACAGTGATGTCCTTAGGCACCACTGGGCTTTAGATCTCGGTTCCTGTTCTAAATGCCTCAAGGCCACTTTGCCTTTTAAGTTCCGAAGTCTCGTCAGTCTTTTTAAGTCTTTGCTCACCCTTCCACACCAAGCTCAGGGCTGCCGTTGTTGCTGTTCGGGTGCCTACTTCTGGCGCGCCCTGTGGCATTCTCCTGGGAGGCTTTTCAGCGCTGGGAGGGGGGGCATCGGAAGCCACTCTTCCCAGACTCCCACCTGGTGAGCATCAAGCTCTGGGGCTGGACAGAGGGACTTGCCTGAGCTGCTCCAAGGACTTCCTCAGCTGAAAGAGCTACGAACTGCAGAGGGCGTCGAGGGGTAGACGTGATCAGTTCTGCTCCAAAGTGCGTCGAGGGCGAGAGGGAGGCCCAGGAAGTCTTCACCGAGGAGAGACTGAGCTCCGGAGCTTTGGAGGCTGAGCTGGATTCTCCGGCACAGGTGGGAACGGCCTGGCTCAGGGAGCTGCGAGTCACTGGTGATGGCCTTGGTCACGGCCGGGCGGTTCCACGCACCCAGTGTGGGGACGGAGCTCATGAGCATGGAGGGGGAGCTGCAGAGGGTGCAGGGGTGTGGCGTGACCCCGACAGTGCA